CGGAGGCCAGTTCTTATACCCTCCTTCAATCTCCACCCCGGATTGCTATTTGTACCCGAGGGTCCCGGTGCACGATGAGTGATGCACTTGATTATTGTTTTGAGCATGAGTTTGTCATGGAAAGGAATATATTTTCGGCTTTTTGTAGTAGGAAACACGCGGTTGCTCACAGTAGGAACTTGCAGTATTTTGAGAAGCACTATTCAGTGCGTTCAAGTTCCCGCAAAGCTCCTCGATTCTACAGCGTCTCTACACTGTCCTAGCCCTCCTTGTAAATTGCTTTTCATCGCGCACAGCTTATGCATATACCAAATCACGAGGGTATGGAATGGGATCTAATTTAGCTGACTATAGAGGTAAGTGGCGAAAGGGCATCGCATCTGACTACAATCATTCTCCCGCCTCTGACTCAATGTGTAATCAGGAGATTGCAGGTTCGACCCCTGTCTCAGTCATGGACAGACATGCTACATGCTTTTTGGCGCATATCCATCTGCGCCACACTAGTACTCTGGAATACGCGACTTGGATGACCTGCACTCGGAGTAAGCTCAAGTTGTGAGTATATGTGTTAGTTAGTATATGATAGTCGAAGGCGCCAGAGTCACCGCATATACAGCTCCTGGAACTATGGTGTTAAAGGCCGTGTAGGAAATTGGCATCGCACCTGACTATCATGATTCGGAGATGTCAGACTCAGATGTGAACATTCAGGGATTGCAGGTTCGACCCCTGCCTCGGCCACTTGAACTCTGCAACTGTTTTTTTAAATCTTACTTATACTTACCTTGCAAGCATTTTTTTTGCATCATCGTGATCAGCTGTGACTCCCTTGTCAAAATGTAAGGTGGCAAAACTGGCCTGACTATCATGACTCTGAAAATATGTGAGCATTCAGGGATTGCAGGTTCGACCCTTGGCTCGGTCATCGATTCTCATTACTGTAATTTTTCGCAATGAGCTTCGTGCTTTTTCAGTACTTACATGTAAAGGCCGTGTGGCGAAATGGCATCTCATCTGACTACGATTACGCGTATGCATATATGGATAATCAGGAGAGTGCAGGCTCGACACCTGTCTCGGTCAATGTGTCTTCATTGATTGCAAGTTTTTGGGACCCATCCCATTGTGCGCCACACTCTCGAATTTCTCTCTCTTGTCCGATTACCAATATCATGTGATCCTAAGAGCCATTCTGGCATGGCCGTGTGGCGAAATGGCATCGCGTCTGACTACGATGACTTTTCGAGGTGTCCTAATCAGGAGATTGCAGGTTCGACCCCTGTCTCGGTCATTACAACGTGACAAACTGTTTTTATTTTCTCTCCACAAAGTTCTTCTTGCATCGCCATCGGGCAGTAAGATAACAGGTTCGGCCCCACTATGTGCTACTACTACTAGGCTGCTTCGACGCCCCTTGGATTTCTAGATGTATGGCTAGCTGCTTCCGGATACGGCGTGCTTCCCAGGCGCTTACATAGCACAGTCTGGATGGACGAATTACATGTGGACTGCGCACAGCCGAGTCAGTTCATCAGTGTTTTATGAGCTTGAGCCTTGAGAGAACCTCCCCATGGCCAGGGCGTCGATCAAGCTTTGAGTTCGTAGGGCGATCCGCGGTTCTCATCGGATGCTAACTGTCGAAACGTTGAGGCGTCAACGGAAAGGGGAGATCGTACGCGGACGAGGAGGGCAATAGGACTCGAACGCTTGTACTTGATGAGGGTCTTATACCTTGTCAAGCTTGACGACCGGGACACACGCGCGGAGGCTCCTGAGAGTCAAAGGACAATTGCCCATAGTCCATTGTCGAATTCGAGAGGGCCCGTCGTGACGCAAATATACGCATGCGCAGTTATTTGAAATTGTAGGCTTTTGTGGGTCCTTTGCGTCAAGGTGCAATTGTACATCGATACCTGTTGGCCCCGGTTGACGACGTAGATACAAATAGTGACATAGTAACAAAGTCGTTATGAGTATTTCAAAGCCGACGTCGCGTACCGATACTCGGCGCAACACATGACCGGGACCCTTGAGCCTCGAGGGAAGGAAGCGACATTGCGCCGCCGGCGAAGTATACGCCGAGTGACAAGCGACATTACTCAGGCTCGAAGGATGGAAGGAATGAGGATAGATTGCGGGGTAAGTGAGTATGGATGATACAAACATAGCGTGATCAAGTGTATGTAGAAGTGGGGCCAGCCCAGATCTGGTGGGAATCATGGTATCAAAGCGGTGACTTGGCGCAGACTTGCAGTGAGGAGGGAATATCGATGCAGCCGAAAATGGAATAAGGATGGATAGGGGTTAGGGAAGGTGGGTATGGCGCGTTAGGGGCGTGGTGATGTGGAAGTGGATAGGAAGCTGGACGTGGTGACAGACGTGTCTGATGGGAGTGATTTGGGGTGGAGGCGGAGAGGGCGACTGCGCGAACGTGCTAGACGTCGGAGTCGGAGATCGGGTGCTGCTGAGTAAGGCTGGTGGAAACGGCGGTGAATGTGAACAAGGGAAGGCGGGTGAACAAGGAAGGCGGGTGAACAAGGAAGGCGGGTGAACAAGGAAGGCGGGGGAACAAGGAAAGCGGGAAGACAATGCACGCGAGGCGGGAGGCGGTTGCGATGGCGGCAAGGACAGCATTGTACTGGGCGGAGTCAGGGGTCGCCGGCGTGCGCCACCAAAAAACAACACGCAACAACAGAGCGGGTTCGATATGGACCGTGGTGAAACGGTGATGTGCTCCCTTTTTCCCATCACCTCTGCTCGTCGCCTCTGCCATCGCCGCCCGCCATGATGCTGGTCCACAAACAACCACCACACAACTTTCCCCTCTCCCCGGCATTCCACCACCGCCGTCACCCGTCAGCACCGCCTGCGGTCGTCGTGCAGCCCACCCGCACGCCAGGCCTGCTGTCGCTGTCCAAGCCGCAGCCACAGCGCTCTCCTCGCCCACGCTCAGCAAAGCCGGAGCAGCAAAGGTAATCCTTCGCCGAGAGTGCCCTGTTTCCATGCTCACTGTGCGCAGGCCCCGCCAGCCGTCCCCAGCAGCCGCAGAGGACCCATCGTCCGATCCCTTTCTCGTCTCCCGCCCCACCGGCAAGCCCCCACGCAGGCGCCATCCGTCGTCTACCACCCAGCCCCTGTCCATCCCTCCCGCACCCGCACCCGCACCCACCCCAACCAAACCCCTCTCCCGCTCCGTGCCCCTCCCGCGCCACCGCCCCACAAAGCGCACCCTCCTCCCACCCTTCGAGTTTCCCATCTGCGATGATTTGACCGATGCCGGCGACCTCTCTGACGCCGCACCGACCACCCCCACCCGCACTCGCACCAAACGACCTGCCAACCCAAAGTCCCTGCCGCAGTTCACGCCCACGCCCACCAAGCACGTCAGGCCCCAGAGGAACCACCGCCGCGCACCCAGCGACTCCCTCATGGTCTTCCACATGAGCTCGGACGAGTCCGGTCCAGAGTCGTCTGGCCCTTCCTCCTCCCGCAGCACCTCGGACGACGAGGCGCTCCGCACCCTGCTCAAGAATCTCGCTGTGCAGAGGAAGGATATCATGAAGACTCCGCCGCCCCAGAGGCAGAGGGAGAGGGAGGCGGCGTTGGAGCAGCAGGCGCTTCAGCAGCAGGGACAGCAAGGACAAGGCCAAGCGTACTTTGCGAGCTCACTCTTCCAGAACTCGCCCTCGCCCGACGAACTCCCTGATCCGATGTTGTTCTAGTCGCGCTAGGTGTGTGGTTTCTTTGCGAGATTGGAGCGTGGTCCTCATGTTCTCTTGGTGTTCATTTCAGGCTCCACCCTAATTTTATCGGTCAAACATCACCCTCGGTCATTGGTTATCATTCGCTCTAGGACACCCGCGCGCTTTCTCCATCCAATCACACCTCCCGCCGCAGCAGCGTCACCACACCACCGACGCCGCAGCCCCACCACCAACTTCACCCGGGGGCGAGCACACATCATCATCGCTCGCCCCCGGCCTCGCCACGCCCCATTGTGTTTTTAGGCCCCCGGACTTTTTGTATATACTCCGCCCGCCACCGTCTCGTCTTGCTCTGGTTTTATGCTCTGCACCCGAAATCCTCTGTCCTGGATTTTGTACACTGGAAATCCTCTCTAGATACACACCCAAAATCGGCGCATCCCCCCGACTCCGTTTCTTTCCCTCTTTCGACTCGGGTTTTTCGGTGTTGGGCTTTCGGGCTCCGGGTTCCGGGTTTTGGGCCGGGGCACAACTAGACGCATCGAACGCAAACGATCAAATCGCAATCGTGTACTATTACCACTACTACCTATCTATTCATCCACGACGACGACGACGTCTACTACACTCGCACTCTTCTCTCGTCGTTTGGGAGAGGGAGAGGGGAAGAGAGAGGAGGAGAAAGAAAGAAATCAAGTATCTTATTGGCGTTTTATTTTATCCATCCCTCGCACCCCCGCCTCCTCCTATCTCCCCCGCCTCCTCCTATCTCCCCGGCCTCCCTGCTACCCCCGTCCCCGTCTCCTCCCGGCCCTGCTACCCCCTTCAATCGGATCCACCTGGCACCGAACGCAGGAGAGGAGTAGAAGAATGAAGAAGAAGAAAGCGTATCTATCGTATTATCATATTATTATTGGCGGCCCCCCCCCTACCATCCTCCTCGTCCTGGTTCCTGTCTCTTGTCTCTACCTGCGCCCGTTCGCCGTCGCCGCTGTATCCCCCTCGTGCGAGGTGGACTGCGCCCACCACGAAACAGGACCCAGGAACCCCACCACCCGCCTTGTGTTTTTAGTATGACCACGCAACACAAATGTGTATTACTATCATCCACTTCTCCTTGCCCTTTTCCTCGTCTCCCTATTTCCTTTTTTCTCTTTTTTGACCTGAACCCTTTCAACACTCTACTTTTTACTTTTACTTCGAACTGCGCCCTTACACCGTTGCTCTTGTTATAGTTCTCCACTTTTTCCTCTTTTCCTCCTTTCCTTCCTTTTTCCTTTTTTCTTTCTTCTTACTTTTTACTTTTTACTTCTTTTTCCGTGCTTATCTTCCTTTTTCAAACTGTCCATACTTCCACTTCCACTTTTTCTTCCTTTCACAACACCCCCCGCTATTATCCTTTCTCCTTTCTCGATCCTTCCTTCATGTGCCATGTCATGCCACCACGCCTTGACGCCTTGCGACGTATCTATCTCTCTCTGCTGTGCTCTATTTCTTTCCTTGTCTCTACTTTTCTCGTACCGTCCCCCTTCCCAAGATTGGGACGCGTCCCTCGGGCGGGATCTGGTGGAATTTACAGGGCTACGCTGTACGTTCTCTGTTTTTTTCCGTACGTGGACGTGCTGACACAGGTTTGTATTGGTAGTGTTCCACGACGCCCCGGCGCCTACATGTTCCGACTCTCCATTTCCTCGCGGGACCTTGCATGTGCCCGCCTGATGGCCCCCGGACGCTGTGCGTCTCTCTTTGTCCTTCCTTCTTCGTACTTGGACTGACAGAAAGTTTAGTGTTTCGCGACGTCTGGGCGCTGCCTTCCATCCTTTTACTTTTTCTCATTCTCGTCGTTTCGTCTCGTCTCGCATATCGCATCGCACGTTTGGCAATCAAGACTCGGACTCGGCACTCGCATTGAAGCAACATACCCCCCCTCCCCCTCCCTCATATTCAACAAACAAATCCATATGTGTACATACATACATACGCGACTCGACCGCCACCACCCCACCCTTTTCGCCACACACACTGATGGCGCACTGGGGGCCTTTTTACACACAACACACGCACGATGCACGACGCACTCTAGAGGCCCGGTGCTTGTGCTTTTTTGTACATATACTGCATACTCACTTGCACCTTGATTGCTTACCCCGCCACCACCGCCGACAACACCAACAAAGCAAAATAGGCTCCCGACCGATCCCACAACAACAACAAAATCCCTCCCTCCGACTCTGGGCGCCGTTTCAACCACGGACACTCCCCGCACACGCACACGCCGAAAAAAGTACCACCCCCCCCCCCCTTCACCGAAAAAATATACATATTTGTCTGTCGATGTGCTATTTCGATCCCCGATTCTTCCGTACCCCTCCTCGCCTCCGCACCTCTCCCCCTCTATCGATCCACCTTATCCCACCTTCCTCAACCCGCACCCTCCACCTTGCCCCACATCCGCAACCAAACCCCACACACCCCGACCCCGCCCCGGGGACACTCACACCCCGTCGACGCGCGTACGCGTCCATTGTCCTTTATTATCGTACATACCGTTCTGCTATTGTCACTCCTTCTCGTGTTTCTTTTTTTT